GGTCATGCACCCACAACCATACCACCTACTCAGTGTGCTCTCGTCATGATCAGTACATCTGTTTAACCCCATCTACCATCCTCGGGAGCAATGGTAGAGATCCAAAGTTTCACCAGCACTGGGGAGCTTATTAGCCGGACACAGGTTTACAACCCCAAAAGGCCAATATCTATATGCTTTGATGTGTGCACCATAATAGCTAAAAACACCATCTATCAACCTCAGGGTATTGGAAACACCTGCACAGGCCTGGCCTGGGAGAAAGCTTATATGTCAAATGATTAAGTATATGTGCCAGGGAGACAACTCTTGGCCATGTAATGATACAAGCTGGAATTACTGCCCATATTGTAGTTGTGTTTCATAGGCTACCTGGCAAAAGGCAGAACTCTCCACCCTCCTTCAAAAAGGAGTAGCAACCTCTAACTGCTCCCTTGGCACCTGTAACCCCGTAAATTTTACTATACTTAAGCCCTTGGATTGAGAACAGGGACATAAGATTGGTATAATGATAAATGGAAAGAGGCTTGATCCTGGAACTCTACTGCACCTCAAATTAATAACTATTACCCATGAGAGTTCCTCATACACTCCTTCTACAAGGAAATGCAAAGTAAGTTTCCCAGTTAAAACCAAAAACCTGTTCTTCTCACTAGCTGAATCCATAACCCAAACTCTAAATGTAACTTCATGTTACGTTTGTGGAGGAACAAAAATGGGAGACAATTGGCTATGGGAAGCAAGAGAACGAAACCCCCAGGAGCCCTTTAATGAGACCACTCTCCCAAGCCACAGGGAGAGCATCTGGCTCCTAAAAGCTCCATTATTGGGAATTATGTACCTCCATCCAAAAGGCCGATTCTCCACCCCAGTAGGGGATGTGATCTGCTTGGGACAAAAGTTTTACAATAATACTGCTCAGGAGACACAGTGGTGAGGGGTCCCAATCACACGGAGCCTGATAGCTAACTTCCCTAAACTTGCAACAGCCTAGAATAATCTGACCATGAGCAAGGAGTGGTGGGTGTCTAAGGGGCTATATTGGGTTTGTAGGAACAAGCTTACACAATCCTTCCCAATGACTGATTCGGATTCTATGTGCTGGGCACCATTCGGCCTTCTTTCTTCTTGCTCCCCCTCAGACAAGGTGAAAAATTAGGATTTTCCATATATGAGGAAAAGGTAAACAGAAAAAAGCAAGATGCCCTACAAACAGGAGACTGGAAGGACAATGAATGGCCTCCAGGGCAGATCATTCAATATTATGGTCCTGCTACATGGGCAGAGGACGGCTCTTGGGACTATTGCACCCCAGACTACATGCTCAACTGCATCACTTGGCTTCAGGCAGTGGTTGAGAGTATAAACTAATGAAACAGCAAAAGCCCTTAACATATTAGCCAAAAAACAAACTAAAATATGCAACACCATCTATCAAAATATTTGCTAGTCTCTGAGGGCGGGGTATGTGGAAAGTTCAATTTGTGTAACTGCTGTTTACAGATTAATGTTGAGAAAAAGATAATTGAAGAGATTACCAACAAGATGAAAAAGCTTGCCCATGTCCCTGTACAGACCTGGAAGGGATGGAGTCTCAGTGACCTGTTCGGGGGCTGGTTCTCAACCCTAGGTGGGTTCAACACCTTAATGAGGCAACGTTCCTTGTCTTAGGAGCATGCCTGATGTTACCCTGCCTAATCCTCCTGGTACTGCAGCCCTTCAGGACCATTATGGAAGCCACTATAGAAAGGAAGACAGCTGCTCATGTAAGGATGCTGTGGAATATAAACCCCTAGATCAAGATGATGCTCTTTGATCCAGAAGTGGGTCTAAGCATCAAAGGGGAGAATATGGCAGGAAGGCAGGGAGGGGAAAGGAAAGGTCTGACCATATCTGACTTCAAGCTATACTACAGAACCACAATAGCAAGACCATCATGGTGCTGGCACAAAACGGACACAGCAACCAATGGGATAGAACAAAAGATCCAAAAATTAGCCCACCAGGTATTGCTATCTGATTTTTGACAAAGGCACCAAAAACATACATTGGGGAAGAAAGTCTCTTTAACAAGTTGTGCTAGGTAAATGAAATCCACATGTAGAAGACTGATACTAGATACCTATCCTTTACCTTGTATAAAAATCAACTCAAAATGAATCAAACATCTTAAAATAAGATCTTATACTTTGAAACTACTAGAAAACATATGGGAAACCTTCAAGATAGAGGATTAAGCAAGGACTTTCTGAGTAGAACTCCAATAGCTCAGGAAATTAGGGCAAGAATTGATGGAATTGTATCAAATTAAAAAGCTTCTGCACAGCAAAAGAAGCAATCAACAGAGTAAAGAGACAGCCCACAGAATGGGAGAAAATCTGCCAGATTTTCATACAAAAAGGAATTAATATCAAGTATAAAGAACTCAAAAAATTAAACACCAAAATAATAAATAATCCAATCAATAAACTGGCAAATGAACAGAACAGATACTTTTCAAATGACGAAGTACAAATAGCCACATTCGTGGTATAGCTGGGAGCATAGCTGCCTTCCCAGCAGCCAATAAATGCATGGAAAAATGTTTAACATTCTTAGCTATCAGGGAAATGCAAATTAAAACTGAGATTCCATCTCACCACAATCAGAATGGCTTTCACCAAGAAAACAACAATGCTGGCCACCATTAGGAGTGGGGTGGGGGGTACAATTATTCACAGCTGGGGACACTTATTCATAGTCCAGCCACTATGAAAAATCAGTATGTAGATTCCTCAAAAAACTGAAAATAGAACTCCCATATGATCCAGTCAGGGGTCAAGGTCAGCTTATTATAGAGATACCTGTGTACTCATGTTTATCTCAGCACTATTCACAATAGAACTACTGTGAATCAGCTTAGATGAATAGATAAAGAAAATGTGGTATACGACACAATGGAGTTTTATTCAGCCATTAAGAAGAATGAAATTATGTTGTCTGCTAAAAAACAGATGAAACTGTAGATCAACATATTAAGTGAAATAGCCCAGTTGTATGTTTTGTCTTGTTCGTGAAAGCTAGGGGAAAACAAAACAAAACAATCAAGGTCGTGAAAGTAAAAGGGGGACTAATAGGGAGGGAAGGGAAAAGGAAAAGGGAAGGATGGAGTATAAGAAAGAGTAATAGAAGGGTAAATATGATCCAACTATATTATATGAATGTATGGAAATGTCATGATGAAACTCCTTACTATGTATAATTTAATATATGCCAATGAAAATCCAGTGTAAGAGCTGATGGAGGAAAAAAGTGGGTAGAGGTATAGACAAGGCGGGGATTAACTAATTGTTGATGTTTGAGATGGGAGTTCATTATTCTATTTTATCTACTCTTCTATGTAGCTCAAGAATAGTCAAAATAATAAAATGCAGAGAAGAGCTGACAACTACCTTCCTATTCCATCTTTACACGGGGAAAGGCAAAAAAAAATAACTAAAATTATACTCTACCTGTTGAAAAGCTTTTTCTGCTTGACGTTCTGCATCAATAACTTGCCTCTCAAGCTGTTGCATCTGTAAGGTAAGGAAAAGTATAAAGTATATAAAAATTCATATTTCTTTTTGGAAAGAGACTTTAAAATCTCACAATGTCACCAATTTTTTAAAGAATAAAGTGGTTCACTGGATATTAGTAATGCACAATTAACACATTAAAGGTTCTTTGCATATTTAAAAATTGATCAAGTGAAATTCCAAAGTTTCAATATTTTTAATACAATGTAATATATGCTGTTACCCGGAAAATGGCATTGATAATTACCTTGGTTCTTGGACTGGCAGGAGAAGAATTCAAGCAAGATGCAAAGATTATAGTAAAAGTAATGGTAACATTTATTAGGAAAGGAATATACTTCCAACAAACTGAAAAGGGGTTGTCTCAGGCGTGAGAACATGGGGTCAGGTTTTAAAGTTGGAATATATATTGATATACTCTTATCTTTGGGTCCTTTTGGTCAAATTACCTTTGGGGTGATTTCCTGGGTTTGGATAGTTATCTTGTTAAGAGAACACTGAATAATCTTCTAGTTCCTGCTCTGATAGAGAATTTTGACTGAAATTCCTAACCTTTGCTCTACCTGGCTCTTAGGTTTGGGGTTTTGTTTTGTTACATTTACTTGTGAAAACCTCCCAGCATCCAGATCCAGTGGATGTTTAGGATGTAGATTACTCTTGGATAAAGAGTGGATTCAGTTTTAAGGTAGTGGCTAACTTCAAAGCATCTTATGATAACCCCTGGGCTCTGGCTACCTGATCTTAAATAGAAATTAATGAAGTTGGGAAACTGAATTACAATGAATTCTTCCTTTCCTCCTCTTGTGGCCACCACTTAAGTCTAAGTGCTACCTATCATATACCACAGGAGTATTCATCTACTGATGTCTAGAAACGGCAGGCCAACACATACTAAGAACACTAAATTAATTTTAAGAGAAAAGTAATACTTCAATTGTCACATTCGCTGTTTTGATAAAAAAAGTCACAATGACACGAGGGAAGTAGTATGTTCTCATAAACTGCGTAGATGATGAGTTTAAGTCAAGACTGAGAAGTTTTACATTCTTAAAGGCTGATCTTCGAATAAACACACACAGAGACGCACAAATGCAAACGAACACCATAAAGTAAGCATTTTAAAGCATCATAAAGGACCCAGTGCTGATTAACACCGATGTCTGTTGCGTGCACAAGCCACGAAGTAAAGCTCAATTTCAAATTCTTTTTTCTCAGTGCTGCAATCTGGCCAACTCGAGAGGCGCGGCGATGGCCTCTGTGCTCGCGCCCCTTTGCCCGCGGGCCGGGCCGATGCCCCGCACTCCCGCTGTGCCCCGGGTTTCCGCCACCCAGGCCCCGCCCCCGGCCGGCCCCGCCCCCGGCCGGCCCCGCCCGCGCGGCACCACCGAGAAGCGGCCTAGCCTCCCTCGGCTAGAGCGGCCTGACCCGGAGGCCGCGGTGTGGAAGATGGTTGCTGCTGGCGGGGCATTATTCTTGAAGGGTATGCTGATTGGGAGCATTTCCTGGGTTTTGATAACTCTGTTTGGCCAAATTCACACGCGACGCGGACGTCACACTCACGAGCACCGTCACCTTCGCCCAGCGAGCAACAAAGATTTCCTCATCGTTCCAGAAGTGACACGCGTGGAGCTCAATCAGAGCATCCGTGTTTTCTGTATCATCCTCGGGGAACCCGAAGATGAGAGTTATTGGGCCGCCCTAAAGGAGACTTGGCCCAAACACTGTGACAACGCGGAGTTTCGGTGCAATGTAGAAAGAAATGACAAGTGGATCCAGATGAGGAAAACCTACAAGTCCGTCTTTGAAAAGTATGGCGCCAGCTACAACTGGTACCTTCTTACTCTCCCCACCACGTTTGCTGTCATTGAAAACCTGAAGTTCCTTCTGTTGACCAGGGACGCATCGCAACCCTTCTATGTGGGCCATACCGTTTCATCCGGGGACCTGGAGTACGTGCGCGTGGAAGGAGGAATTGCCTTGAGCATCGAGTCCCTGCAGAGGCTCCACACACTTCTCAGTGGCTCTCAACCCTGTGCGAGTCCAAGAGCCGTGTGGAACCTTCCTTTCGATAGGCAGCTGGCCGTCTGCCTGAAATACGCGGGCGTTCTCGCAGAAAATGCAGAGGATTACGAAGGGAGAGGTGTGTTCAATACAAAATCGATCGTACACCTGATTCAAGAGGCAATGCCTAAAACCCCTCAGCAAGTAGTAAAAGGCTGCTGTTCAGATATGGCTATTACTTTCAATGGCCTGAACCCCAAGAAGATGGAAGTCATGATGTATGGCGCGTACCGTCTCAGGGCCTTCGGACATCATTTCAATGACACCCTGGTTTTCTTGCCTCCAGACGGTTCAGAAAATGACTGAGTACTGGCCAGGCGCACTTGAAAAGTGTCTAGTCCAAATTAAGATGTGGCTTAAGTATAAATGCACACCTAATTCAGTAATACATATATTACTAGAAAAAATAGTACAAAAAACGTAAAATATTTCATGAGTAATTTTTTTATATTGACTTCACAGTGAAGAAATTGTTTTGGTTATGTTGTATTAATAAAACATGCTATTAAAATTAATTTCATCTCTTTCTTTTACATTTTATTCATGTGTCCATTATGTGATGGGTATGTCCATTCATGTGATGCATTTTTTTCAAGATAGAGTCTCTCCAACTATTTGCCAGGGCTTGCTTGGAACCGCAATCCTCCTGATCTCTGCCTCCCAAGTAGCTGGGATTACAGAAGTGAGTCACCAGCATCTGGCAAGTGATTGCTTTTGTCATGACAATTTTTTAACAGGCAGAAAAACACACATAACGACATTGCCCTGAGTTCAAACTCCAGTATGGCTTTCAAACAAAAACCTTGAATTCCTGGCCCTGCTCATCTCAGCCAATCATTGGTCTAATCTCCACACTTTTTTTTTTTTTTGAGGTGTAGGGGCTTGAACTCAGGGCCTTCACCTTGAGCCACTCTACCAGCCCTTTCTTGTGATGGATTTTTTTTCCAGATAGGGTCTCATGAACTATTCACCCAGGCTGGCTTCGAAATGTGATCCTCCTGATCTCTGCCTTCTGAGTAGCTAGGATTACAGGTGTGAGCCATCAATACCTGGCTCAATTAGAAAAATTTAAATTACATTTTTAGCTCACATTATATTTCTAGTGGATAACAAAGATGTAACACATAGAGCATCTGTTGTCACCACATGTGGCAATCTAACCAGCTAAAAGGCAGCACTTTTTTTAAGGCAGTTTATTGCAGGGATCTAGATTCTGGAAGAAGTTTAAAATATTTTGATATGTCACTAGATATTTCCCAGGTACACTTTCCAGCCTTACATAATCTTTAATTTTTGTGAAAATATTTAAAACACCTAATGAGTAAGTATTGTGGTTTAAAAGCATTTTATTGAGTTATCGTGTAGACCAGGCGCCATAGATATAGAAGCAATTAGACAAGCATTGTATCTCTTGGATGTCTTAAACCAGAAAGCTACAAGCAGACTCATGCCAAGACCACATTTTTTTCCCTACCGGCAATATGCTGACAATTGTCACCTCTACTATAACTACATTTTATTCTCAGAGGAATTTTTGTACTTCTGGAGCTCTTACTGACCTTTGGCTATTGTTGAGGTTGCCAGGAATCTTGCCACAAAATCTTGCTAATGAAATTTTGTCAGATTTTGCTAGTGAAAAAAATGAATAGTTTATTTTTGGTGGGTGTAGTGGTACAGGCCTATAATACCAGCATGGAAGGAGAAGGCAGGAGGATCAGGAGTTTGAGACCAATGTGGGCCACACAGAGATTTCCAGGACAGTGTAGGGCTACATAGTGAGAACCTATCTCAAAATACTAAAAACAAAAAAAAGGAGTATTTTCTTAAGAGAACTGTGTAAATATCTTGTCGATTTCTCCTTCTGTGTTTGCTTCTGCCCAGAGAGGGCTGAAGTCTGTTTGCTTCACTATTTCATACCTAATCCAGGTCTTTATACATGGTACGTAGGTATTTGATATATTGTAAATTAGCCAGGCGCTGGTGGTTCACACCTGTAATCCTAGCTACTTGGGAAGCTGAGATCTAGAGGATCACAGTTTGACGCCAGCCCTGACAAAGAGTTTTCAAGATCCCATCTCAACCAATATCTGGGCACAGTGGGGCACAGCTGTCATCCCAGCCAGAGCAGGAAGCTTAAAATAGGAGGATCATGGCACAATCTGACCTGGACAAAAACCAAGACTCTATCTGCAAACTAGAGAAAAAAGAAATGGAGGCATAGCTCAAGAGATAGATACCTGCTTTGAAATGTGAAGCCCTAAGTTAAACCTAAGTACCGCCAAATAAGTAAATATTATTAATGAAATAACAAAAGCTCTCTGTCATCTGTAAAACATAGTACGTACATGAAGGACACCACCATTATTTTTACCACTGCCAAATAACTTTATTTCTGCTCCTGTGGCACTAACTTCCTATTTTGTACTGTTTTCCCAACTACATTATAAGTTTCTGGAAGAATTCATATGTGATATCGTTTATTTTATTTATTTAATTTTTTTATAAGTTAAATCCTATTTTTTAATAAATTTTTTATTAGGATATATTCATTATATGGGGGAGGGGACTCACAGTAACAATTCTGATTAGACTTAGACTTAACTGTACGTTAGTTACACTGCCTCCATCGTCTCTCCTCCTTAACTCTCTCCCTGGCCCATTTAAGGCAATTGCAAGAGGTTTCTTAGTTCTGTTTCATGTAGGTATATGAAGTCCATCTACCATATAATATCATCTTAATCTCCTTCATTCAGGCTCCCTTACCCCTCTAGGCCACCCCCACACACCGTACCTATTTTACAGTCCCGTTTTTTGTTATATAGTTAAGTTGATGTTCAAAGGGATGTCTCAACGTATGCCCACTGTGGGTGGGCTTTACTTTACTCCCGTTCAACCCCTTCCATTACTTTCCCTTATCCCCTTACCTCCCTCCTTCATTTTTCAACATCTTTCAATATGCATCCTTATATCCTCTACCTTTACATCTTATACAATATTACTGATGCTCTATCATTCCCTTCCTTTCCCTGTTTCCCCGAGTACCATAGAGGAGTTCCACTGTTACAAACATGTTGTACATCTGAGTTTGTCTACGATCATGCTGTATGATAGCCTTTAAATCCTCTGACATGACTGCTTTGACATTCCAGTCACTAATGAAATTATCTACACTTAGCAGCAAGCAGTAACTTTACCAAAATTATTTTCATTATAAAAAAAATTATACACGTATGCACATGCACAAACAGTGTGACGGTCCACTATAATATTCTGCCTACATTTTTTTGTTGTTGTTGTTGAGACTGAGGTTTGAACTCAGGGCTTCCTGCTTGCAAAGCAGGCACTCTACCAGTTAAGCAACACCTCCAATACATTTTGCTCTGGTTATTTTGGAGATGGGGGGAACGTCTTGTGAACTATTTGCCCAGGCTGGCCTCGAACTGTGATCCTCCATATCTCAGTCTCCCAAGTAGCTCAGATCACAGGTGTGAGCCACCAGTGCCAGCTTCTGCTTACTTCTGTACCCAGAGGATGTTTTCCTTAACACTGTATTTATAGTAAAACATGACTTGAAGAAAATCACTCTAGGCTAATGTTCTCAGGTACATGATGCACCATTAACTTCTATGGATTTGTGTATTCTGGGTATCTCACATGAATGGAATCATACAATATGTCTGGCTTCTTAGCATACTGTTTTCAAGGTTCATCTGTATTTCATTTTTTATGCTTGAATGATATTCTACTTTATGGACATATAAAATTTTGTTTACCCATTTATCAGCTGATAGGCTTTTGGATTGTTTCTACCTTTTGACTATAATGAATGATGATGCTATGAACAGTCATGAATAAATTTTTGTGGGGATATATACACTCAATTCTCTTAGATACATATCTGCTGGGAGTGATGGAACAGCTCTGGGCTGTCCAAGGCCCAGCTACCCTCCCCTTGGTTTTTTCATGAAGGTAGCTAGATCTTTTTTCCATGGTGAATTAGGACCCTAAGGTTTTTCTTAGTTTTCAAAAATAATATATTTTATGTATCATATATCATATATATTACATATATATCATGTAGAACAGGTTTTGAAATATCTATACATATATACTATCAATATATTTTGGCATGGCTAAAATTGATAAAGTCACTAAATTTTAGTGGTTTTTTTTGTTTCTTTTCTTGGCAGTACTGGGGTTTGAACTCAGGGGATCAAGCTTGCTAGGCAGGCGCTCTACCACTTGAGACGTGCCCCTGCCCCCTTTTTGTTTAGCTATTTTTTGAAAAGGGTCTCCTGCTTATGCCTGGACCAGCCTGGCCGCAGTGTGTCAAAGGGGACAGTCATGAGAGGCTCATGGAGAGGAGAGGCTTTGACTTGGGGTGAGCTGAGATGTAAAACGGAATTTGGGAAGGGAAAGGTGCAGTGTTGGTGGCCCTGCCCTATCTGCCCAGAGAAAATGTCAAAAAACAAAGCACCTAGCCTTCGTGGGCAAAAAGCTTCAGATTACAGAAGCTGCTCGCAGGCAGCCTGCAGGCAGGCAACCTTTAAGACTGAGCAACCTGGAGGATTTGAAAAATCACAGCCCAGGAAGCTCTGAGACTCCCAGGCACAGTTTCCACATGGCGACTGCCACCAAAGGTGGACACAGAGGAGAGGTTTTGATAGGGGCAATATGAAAAGCAAAAAAAGGCTCAGAGGTTGGCAGCCCCACCTAATCCAGTAACAGCAACTCCATTGACTAAGGTCAGTTTCAAAAACAAAGCACCAGTGTGTGGGGGGGAGGTGGCCCAAATAATGTATACACATATAATTAAATGTAAAATGATAAAATAAAATAAAATACCCAGCCTCCAATGGCAGGGAACTCAGGTTGCAGAAGCTGCCTGCAAACTGCCTGCAGCAGGTGAGACTGGTTGCAGCTCCCAGCTAGGCAAGTTCCAGTCTCAGCAGGGGAGACTGCTATTAGAGGCAGACTTAGAGAGGGAAAAATTTTGACAGGGACAATCTGAAGGCTCCTGGCAGAAAAGCCTGACTAGCAGCCAAAGGCCCTGATGTCAGCAGCCCCACCCTATGCAGTGACAGCAACTCCATTAACTAAGTCCCCAATAATGGAAGAAATGGCCACACGCATTCATATCTCTCTCTCAATCTCTTTCTCTCTTTCTCTCTCTCTCTCTCTCTCTGACACACACACACTCTCAATCTATAGCCAAAGCACTCTGTTAAGAGAATTGCCCTAGAGTGTGTTAACCACCAAGGGCCCCAAGGCCCCCACCGCACATCAAGCTAGAAATTTCCCCTTTG